AAAGCACCATTTTTACTCCTTACTCCCTCTCCTTTCAAAATTTCTGTGATCACCTGTGACATCTCTTCGAATGAGAGGAACTGGTTTGAAGCCCACGTGTAGACACATGTTGTAGTTACAACCTGTAGGACAGCAGACAGAAGGCATAGTGGATTTGCCGTGGCAGTCAAAATCGCTGTTACACCTGAGAGTATTCGGAAATGTACAAGCTATTCAAATCTGGCACGACAACATTGACCAACCAATTCACACCACGCAGCTTTCGACATTGAATATTCAACGCAGTTGGAGATGGACACCTTGAAATAGTTGCCAATCCAATTTGTGGGTTTTTAAGGCTTAAGCAAGATATGAGCCAACTGACTTTTTTTGTGAAGGGTTAGTGCAACAAGAGCCAGCATTTGCACTACTGATGCATATCGTACCAGATTCGCAGACTGGCGATGGCATGCACGAGTGGAAGTAATTCAAACATAGCGGTAACGTAGAAAACCCTAAAAGTTGAAAATGATTAACAGTTTACAATTTTCAAATTTGGTAACTTCACGCTCTATAAAGCCCTTTCTAAGCTCTAACAGGTCTGTAGCAGAGCGTTTCATTTGCGCCTGATGCCAACCTTTCTAGAATTAGAACACAAGTCTCTAAAGCAATGTTAGTCATTTCGCCTATCACAAGCTCTGTGTCGATGATCACCCCACCACATCGCACATTCGACTTTTTCTCAATAACTGTAGCCATCCAAGTTGACTTATCAAGTGCTCCACAAAGCTTAGCAGATGTTAGCTCATTCTACTCCGACTGCCCAAGCATGACAACGACAGTGAGAGGTTCAAAACATTTGGATGCCTTTCTATCTTATAGCTCATAGAATAATAAAAACCGTAGATCATTTTTCATTTCAAAAAAATGCCCAGACTTGCTATTTGTCATAAATTTAGATGCGAGAAGAATAAGAGTTGATTTTTTCAAAACAGAAATACAATGCCATCCCATGCAAGCATGCTGCACGCTTTAAATCGCACGCTGTGGCTCTCCCCTCTATGACTGGCCGATTCATGTGACTCTGCCGCCGTTTACTGACCAGATGTTCATTTACGCGGTGAGATGGTTGACCAGTCTTGTCTAAGATCGTATAA